GTTCCGGGCCCACCCCGGCCTGGGAGGGCTGTCTCTTCCGGCTCCCATCCTCACTGCCAAACATTCTTCCAGCTTCATTCCCAGGACAGTCTTTTCCCACTTCTGTGGCTTTGGTGTTCACTGCCAGGAGATTAAGTCAGCCCTTCTCTTCCTCAGTGTGAGGGCCTCCTATGCGCCCTTCAAGGCCCAAGTGTCCTTTCCGCTGGGAATGGCTGACTCAATCTCCTGGACCAAAGGGGCACCCTTCCTCACTGCTCAGCTGCTCCTCTGCTGGAGGATGCGGCTGTGTCTGGATGCACAGGACGGAAGCACATGGGCTTTCACTTCTCTGAGCCTCAGTTTCCCTGCTGGCAAGGAGGGGATGATTATCCTGTCTCAGAAAGGCCAGTGTGTGTGTGTGTAAAACGCCCGGCCTTAGGTCCAGGCAACTACAGTGTGCCCCGTGTGGCCTCAGACGGAGAGAAGAAGGAAGATCCAGTGACTGGTCTGGGAAGGCTTCCTGGAGGAAGGGGCAAGGAGAAGCAGGGTGCTCCTGGCAGAGGGGGCACGGTAAGAGAGCAGAAGAGAGTAGGCAGACAGTGAGAGCAGGCAGACAGTGCTCGGCAGGTTATTGGCAGGCACAGGCTGGGCTAGGAAGTGTAGTCCTTGTTGCTTCATGCAGGAGGAAATGCCCGACTTCCTGGGCCCAACCTCTCTACCTTGACTCCACCGATGCCCCTGCACCTGCCAGCCTCCAGGGCTCCCAGAGGCCAAAGCCTGCCCAGACCTGTCCAGGCTTAGCCACGGCCCATGCTGGGCCTGGTAGCGGGAGGGGTGAGGAGGCAGAGGGGAGGAGGCATTTTCTCCTCTCTGGCTTCCTGATGCAGTCCTGGGCTTTCCTTTCTCAGCTCAGCCATTCCCCTTGCAGCCTTGTGACTTCCCCCAGGCCATGCCCTGTGGACTCCTCACTCCAGCGCTCAGGAAGGCCTCTCCTCTCTTCATTCTCAGAGCACTAAGCACTCACAGCCCTCATGGGGCTACCTCTGCCCTGCCAGGTGCTCTCTGGACCCTTCCCAGGCCCCCGTGGGTTGGGGATAGAGGCTCAAGGTCTGTGTGTCATGCCCAGAGCAGAGGCAAATACAGGGCAAGCACACAGCAGGAGGCAGGAAACCCAACTGCCAGCATATAGGCCCAACGTGCACAAGGCGGCTTTGCTGCCACTTCTCCCTTCTTGAACCCACAGGGACAGATGTCACTCCTTCTTGGGGCTAGAGAACTGCAGAGCCAGTGAGTTAGAGGTGAGAGGGCCCAGCAGAGCCAGTGAGTTAGAGCTGAAAGGTGCTCACAACTAGCATCTCACCCGAGCAGCCCCATTTCTCAGATGAGGAAACTGAAGCCAGGAAACAAGAACGAGACTCACTTAGGCAGACCATGAATTAGTGAGGAAGCTGGAAGATGAGGGAACTGAACTGAGCCCCTACTATGCGCCAGGACTGAAGCAAAGGCCTTAGAGACATTATTCCACCCTATTCTTTCTGCAGTGCTCTGGGGTAGAGGGGGTGTGATCATGGGGTTTACACCAGCCTGCTCCAGGCCAGGAAACAGAGGCCTGGGAGGAGAGTGGAGTTGCTCCTGGTTGTCCATGGACAAGAGGTCAGCTGGCCACCCGTCTGCCCTGCCTAGGTCTGGCGACCTTGACAGTTGAGGCCCAGGGCTAGGCTGGCAGCTGCTTGCTGGGATGCTCCTCACTTAGCCTGCGAGGTTCTGAGGCCTGTGTCTATGGCATGAAGAGGGGAAGGTGTGGGGGGCAGGGCGGCAGGCTGGGCAGCTCCTCACCTGGCTTGGTGACGCGCAGGAGCTCTGGAATCGCACAGCAGGGCACCTGGCCATCGCTGAGGGCTCCCACCATCAGCACTGCGTCGAAGGTTTCTGTCGGGGTGGGTATGTGGGGAGGTGATGGGGTGCTTTGTCTGTGGTGTGGCCTCAGCCACCCTAGAGGACAATACTCCCTGGTGCATGGGGACAAGGCTGCCACCTGGGTCTTCAGGACCCAGATCCCGTGGAGGATATGGTAGGTGTGGTCCAGTCCAATGTAGGTATGCCTACAGTCAGATCATGGGGTGGGGGCCTCAGGGGGAGGGGCTGGGGATGAGGATGAAAGCACCATAAGGGTGGGCCTTGGAGTGTTGGGTAGAAGAGGAAGTACCTTCCGGGCTGGGCAGAGGCTCCTGGCCCAGGGTGCAGAGGCTGAGGCGCTGGTAAAGGCCACGGGCCCGGGCCTGCTCCAGCATCCGTGGGCTCCCATCAACCCCATGAAGCTGGAGGAAGCCCCGAGCCTGAAGCTGGGGTGGGGATGGGGGTACTCAGTGACTGTTCGCACCTTGCCACTTCCCGACCCGGTCCTGGCACCCCGGGAGGGCAACGGGCCCCGCAGTGATGCCCATATGTTTGGGACTGGAAGTCTGAGAGGCAGGGCAGAGTTCCTGGGTCGGGGTGGGAAGAGATTGGAGCAAGTGAGAGGCTGGGGAGAGGGCAGGAGATCCCGGGGAAGCCTCACCTCGACAGCCACCAGGCCCGTGCCACAGGCCACGTCCAGGATCAGGGCAGCGTGCGGAGGGCCTGCAAAGGCTTGGGTGAAGCAGTCCACTGCAAGGCGGGGGGCACGGTACTGCAGGGTGGCCACATCCTGGGGAAAGAGTGCTGACCCTGATGCCCGGTGTTTGGGGGGCTTCTCATGCAGGGTGGTCTAGAAGTCTACCAGGCTAAGCCTTGTGTGTGTTGGGGGCTTGGGCCTGGCTGTGGCTATGGGGAGAAGACACCCAGACGGCCCCTTCCCACCGCTGAGGGGTGGCCTCAGTCTCCAGGGACCTTCTCTGATGGCCAAGGCAGCCCCTCTGTCTGAGCTGCAGTCCCAGGGTGCGAAGGTCTTGGCCCCCGACAGGGGCTGCTGACCCAGAGGGGCGGGGCTGGTCAGAGGCCAGGGCCGCTGTGAGGGGGCCCAGGAGGGGCTGGCCCCTGAAGGGGCAGGACTGTAGAGTTCTCACTCAGGTCTCATTTCATTCTCACACCCGTCCCAGGGCACAAGGCTGGCTATGCCCGCTTTACAGGTGGAAAAACGGAGGCTGAGCCGGGGGAGGCCAGGGCCTCGACGGGTTTACCTGGTCGTAGTCTGGAGCCCAGCGGTCATAGAAGTGGAGCTTGCGGGCCAGGTCGGTGATGCCGTGCGACGCCCCGACCCGCGCCTGCACCTTGGCCAGCTTCCCACCTTCCTCCTGAGCCATGCTCCTGGGGGGGGGCACAGCCGCGCTGTCCCGAGGCCCTCGCCGAC